GTGGCATTCCCTCATCTCTTCATAGCTCGTCGAAATTCGCAAGTCGGGTGCCGTTATGCACAATTTTCAAGAGTCCCACCCGCGGGTCGACCCCGATCCGAAGAGCGCCGTCAGCTGGATGGCCGTCAGTTAATATTACTTCGCGTGCGACAAGACCGAGGTCGCGGGCCGGTTTCTGCCCAAGGTTACTACGCTGGACGCAGGCTTGGCTCCCGCGTTTGTCGCCGTGAAACACGCGTTCGACCTCGGCCTCGATGTTTGACTAAGCCGCGACGCACCAGAGTGCCCCGCACGCTCGCGATCCTCGTCGTCGGCGGCCTGCTTTACTCCAGCGTCCTTTCCCCCCGCGGCTCACCATGCTACACCCTTCGCCCCCCAAACTCACCGCCGCCTTATCCCCTACCGTCCACCATCGGGCCATGATCCTCCCCACGCGCGTGGTCACCCGCCGTCCAAACACCATCCTGGTCGCCCTCACGCACGGAGACTCCGGCAACCAGCTCTAATCCCTTCTCGAGGCCCTCGTTCTCGCGCGCCACGCTCACCCCGACCTCCTCCTCCCCTCCTTCCTTAGCCGAGAGTTTAGCAAAACTACCACGGAGCGCGTCCTCGAGAAACACGGCGTCAAGTACTGGCGCCTCCGTCGCATGCGGGCCGCCGTCGCCCTGTATACCCTCATCCTGTCCCACTTGCCGCATGTGTGGACGAGCAGCTTCTACTACGTCTACATCTTCACGCGCGCGAAGGCGCCCGACAAAGTCTCCCCCGCCAAGTTGTCGTCCAGGACGAAGCAGGTGCTGCAGTTTTGTTGTACCCGCACGACGACGTCACCCCGAAAAACCAGGAGGACTGCGCCAAACGCGTGTTTGCAATCGCCGCAGTGGAGAGGCCTCCATGCAGATGTTGCACCCCCCCGGTATGAGCTTGGTGAATGAGCTCGTCACGCTTCGCGACCGGCAAACGCTGCCGGCTGCGGAAGAAACATGTCGCGTCCGGCGTGCGTGCTAGTCGACGGACACACGTTTCTGCACAGGGGGCGGGTGGGGCATGAATACTTGTACTCTTTCATGCGCTATGTAGAGCCCGTGACTAGGATTGCGAACATGGCAGCCAGCTGGAACGTCAAGGAGCATACCGTGCTCCACCTACGCAATGAGGAGAGGGCGTGTATGCCCAGGCCAGGGATGGAGGGCAAAGTTTGCATTAGGTTGCTCATAGCTATCAACGAGCCGGACACTGTGTAATGGGCGCCAATGCGGAACTTAGTGGACAAGGTTTCCAAGCTGATGGCGGCGGAGCAGACGCCGGCGCTGTTTTTTGCCGCATCGCCGTACGTGCCAGAGGAGACGGTGACGCAGCTCCGCGAAGCATTCGGAAAGCGGGTGCGTCTGGCGCCGCTCTTGAAACATTCGCTCCTGCATAATGATCAGAAATTTGTAGAGCACGAGCTCGCGGTGAAATGCGGTTGCTTCATTGGCAAGTTTTCGTCGACATGGTCGGGGACGGTTTACTACAAGCACAGGACGCTCGGGTTAAAGACGCATTGGATTGGCGTGCTGTTGGAGAAGAGCAAGACACTGGGCTACTATGCGGAAGAGGAGCGCATTCCGCAGCCAGAGGAATTGGAGGCAATGTTTGCGGTAGCAGGTAAATAGCTGTCGCAGTGACGCGGCCTCGCAGTGGTATGTTTAAAGATGGTAGTCCTGGACCAGTTGCGGTGATGCTTGCCGTCTGATAGAGGTCTCGAAACAGAGAGAGAACAGCTGCAGAAGTAGAGTAGGGCTTGACTAACAATATGAGTGGGGTCTTTCCTGCCCTTTTTTCTTAGATAGATACGGCTCCTTCAGACATGATACCGTTGCTTCCCCATGAACTACTCAGGGGGGTTTGTCGTGGAGGGAAACCGCCAAATGTGGATGCCTCGAAGTTCCCGCTCGGTTTTTTGCGGAAAGTTTGGGGCGGTTTGTTGCCAGAAAGCCACGCAAGCGCCCACACACGCGCCGTCCCCCGTGTGTTTACTTGTGCTGTGTGTCTGGATGCTGCACGACGTCCCATCCGCGCGAACTTTTTGCTCACATGCACACCTGTTCCCTTACAAGAGCACGCGCTGGCGAAAAACAAAACAAAATCTAGAATAAATAACCCTCTCCAAAAAAGTCTGCAAGCTCTCCCCCGTCCCACCCCCACCTCGTCCTCACCCCGCCCTCACGACTTTTCGTCGAGGCCCTCTCCCTTCGACTCGTCTCTCCGTTCTCCTTCCCCCATCTCTTCTTCTGCCCCTCTCGTGGAAAAATACGCCTTCCCCCCTTCTGCACCTTCAATCGTTCCCATTTCTCCGCTATCTTCCTCTCGCAATCTACCCTTCTTGGCCCCTCCGATCTCGCCACTCACGTTTCGTTAACTACCTGCCCATCGCCCCGTACGTTACAGCCGCCTGTCCCCATCCTCATTGCACGCAACGCATTTTCGCTTCGTCTTCCTACCCTTACCTTCCCACTCCATCTCGTATTCCACTACCCTAACGCACATGTTTCTTCCACAAACGAGCAATTCCACACGACTTCCATCCTTCTCTCCTCCGCTTACGTCTCACCACTCGAGTTACTTTTCCGGCTTGCGCGGCGCGGCGTGTAACAAGCACACCCTGCAAACCTCCCTTTTGCGCCCATGTATTCGCCTACACCGGCTATCCAAGCTTGATCCCTCCGCCACTGCAAACACAATCAACCCTTAATACCGCGCTCTCTATCTTGCCTTCCGCAGCGCGTTTCGTCTAACTCTATTATTGCCCTCGCTACATGCATCATGTCGGACTACAAATACCCCTGCAGCATCTCCAGGTCCCCCTGGAGATGCTGCGGGGGTTATTTCCCTACCCAAGCCGATGCCACCCATGCGTCGCACATGAGCAGCGCGAAAGAGGCCGTCTCGTTTCGGATCGGCGTCTTTCCAAAGCGCTGTATATGATCGCGAACGCGCCCTGGACACCTTTGAACATGTCCTCAACGGCAACCCCACCGACATTGGCGCCATGACACCGGCGGGCGCCGTCCTCGCGAAGAAGGAATGCTACCCTCAAGCTCCTCAAGCACCAAGCCCCGGGCGATCTAGACACTATGGTGCGTCCACCCCCCGTTGCACCCCCGCTAGCTCTACCCCAGTCTCAAATCTCACACCAATTTCCTCCCCCCACCCGCCCACCAGGAGCCGCTCCCTCTCTCCGAAGCCGTACTGCGCAACGCCGTGGCTGACCGCGCCTCCACAGCTGCCGCAGCCAAGTAGCTGCTATCCACCACCTCACCGCAAAACGCACCGCCCGCCGCATAAAATCGCTCATCGCTACATCGTCCCGATCGCCGCCTGGACTTCGGCCTGCACGCTCGCCACCTCTCCGCGCACCTCGCCAACCAACAGCTCGCACTCTTCCAAACCCTACGCTCGCGCGCGTTGCATGCAAGACAAGTATCTCACCAAGTGAGTTACGCGCCCGCATTCCACGCCGCAAACCACAGCCTCGCTGCGCACCCAACTCACAGTCGGCAGCCCCGCGAACCGCTGCAGCGTTCGCTCGACCTGCGAAAGCCGCTCTTCGCCCTCTATGAGCCTTCTCCCCATCTCCGCCACTTTCTCGTGCCTGCAGCCCTCCTGCACGCCTTTGCGCCGGAATGGTAAGTCCATGGCTTTTATCAGTATGAGTCTCGGCGTTCTGCGAACAGCAGTGTGTGCGGTATTGCGGTCGCGGCAAGTTAATAGCATTTGTATGTAACTGTGAATCGCGTGGGGGTGCGTGTTGACAATAGAGGAGATGCACGGTGACGATGGAAGAGATGTACTGTGAAAAGTGCGCCGTGCACGCTCGGCGATGCCGCCGTCTTCCATGTGCTGCTTCCTCCGCGCGCCGCGGACGGGGAGCTTGCGCAGCATTGCGCGGCGCGTCTCTTTGCGCCCGAGCTTGCCGCGGTGCTCGTCGGAGTGCCGCCGCATGTCTTCGAGCGCCCCGCGCGATGCCGGCGGCGGGCCGCGCCATCGCCTGTTGGGCGGCAGCGCCGCCTTGCGCGAGAGCGCCGACGTGTCCCGCACCCCGCTCGCCGACGCCCTCACATCCCCGACCCGCCTCAGATGTGCCATTCGTCTATCCCGTCCTCTACCCGCACCCCCGGTCAACATATCGACACCCCCGCCACCGCCTCCGCCATCATCGGCCGATGCGCTAGACCCATCCACAACAGCCCATGTCGTCAAACCAGGGAATGATGCCTATTGCGGGTGGGGTCCCGATCGAACTCAATGTCTACGATCTTCAGCACCCCGACAACCCCGACGCCGTGCCCGCCATTAACTGGTATCTATACGGCGTCGGCTTGGGGCTTTATCACTCGGGCGTCTCCATTTACGGCACTGACCATTGCTACGGCGGTCACGCCGATGACGACACAGGCGTCTTTGAAGTCGTCCCGCCGAAGGCCCCCGATGCGAAGTTTAGGCAGACAGTCTTTGTAGGGAGGACCAGTCTTGACCCGCAGCAGGTGTCAGAGCTTGTCAAGGCCATGGCCCACGTGTGGAGTGGCAACTCATGTAACTTATTAACGCGGTAAGCTCTGACTTCTTTCCGAAGCAAGCATACATTTTTATCTCCTTTCGCAGAAGCCTGACCCCTTCGTCGTCCTCCAATATAGGAGGAACAGCTGGAGCTGACTTCGTTTCGCATTGTATAGTTATTAGGGCCGCTGTGGTAGCTCGCTAGGAGGTGGCGATTATGAGCAAGTTGCTTCAGGTCGCGCGCGCCCGAGCTCCCTTGTCTCGCCCACCTGGCGCTCGCCACCGGCCTCTCCCCCTCGCGGCCGGTTCGCGCGCGCCACGCCGCGCCGCGGCCCGCCGGGCCCGTGCAAGCTATACTTGCGCACTTCGTACTCGAGGACCTTGAAAATTTGGTTGGCACCCGACGTCGCAAACTCCAAAGCGCGTTCAAACGACTCGCCATCCGGGAGCTTGCTATCCAACTAACACGAAGCAATCTTAGCAGAGTGACTCAAGACGGCGAGCGTGAGCTCCGGGCGATCCGAGGCGCTCTCCAACGAGCTAGGATCAACGACAAAGGTGTCGTCCACAGAGCCCACACCACAAGCGACGACGAAATCCGACATGGCCACGCCGACATTAACCAGTGCCAAACTGGCGGCATTGGCAGTGGCGACGAGCGCGCCGCCGTCGTTCTGGAGGACCTGTAAATAGATGTCGATCTGGCTCTTGGGGTACGAGGCGGTCAGGATGACGCCCTCGAAGGCCTTCTGCATGACGAGGGCGGCGGCGGTGCTCTTGCCGTCGCCCTTCCAGGTACTGCGGTAGACGGGGGAGGCGAACATGGCGGTGGAGACCTCGCACTTGACGACGGCGCGGTCGTGCTGGACGTTTGCGCGCGAGTGGGGCTCGCGGGGCCGTACACGGCGGCGAGGACGCGCGTGTTGCTTTGCTCGTAGTAGCACGGGACAGCGCGCCCAGCGAGCACCGGATCTTGCGCCCCTCCGTCGGGCGCCGGCCGTCGATGCGAAGGCCGTCCAGGGAAATGTATTCTAGGCGGCCCGCGCCTCCGCCGCGGTTGCGGGAGCGCTTCGTTGCGGGTGGCATGGCGGGTGAGAGTGGGGGTGGTGGACTCGTGCGCTCGGCAATTGTACAGGCGCGAAGGTGTGGCAATGGTGGAACAGCGCAGAGGTATAATTCGGTGGGTTCAAAGAGGCGAGGCGCACACTCTGACAGATTAGATTTACGCGTTGGATGTGGATAGACTTCGGCGAGCCGATTTTCCAGTGAAAATAAAGCAGGGGGAAGGACGGCAAGGAGGCAGGGAGTGGGCCAAGACGGTAGGGGAAGAAGGGTTTGCCATGCAGAACATGTGATACCGAAGAATGGGCGGTCGGCATGGGACAAGCGGGTACGACTTGGTCCGGGGGAGGGGGGACAGGATTGGGAGGTTTTGGTACTCCAGTTGATACAGGGGGCGGCAGTGAGTGTGCGGCACGCAAGCTCCAGAGTTGGTTGGGAGGCGGGAAAATCATCTAAAACTGCGCCACTGCCTCGTTCCGCACCGCCCATTCCAGGAGAGTTGCAAGTTTTTTGTTTTTTTTGATTTCCAATGGGGACAGAGCCCATTACGTACTGTACCTACAAAAACCCTAATTTCTACCCAATCACGCTCCGACACATACCTTCGGGCAGTCCCCGCCCCTCAGTCCCCCCGCAAGCCCGCCCGCACCACAATCCGGCAACGGCTTTTCCCACTCCCCAATCTCCTCCCCGCCCAGAGCGACGTGCGACGGGTTTCGCAAGAGGCCCCCCCGTCCATCGTACGCACCACAGCCCATTTAAGCCACACAACCACTCTCACGCACAGCAACACGCTCAGCGCCCGACCTGCCCCTTCCTGCCAGCGGCCCACGCGGGCTGCTGCCACGCCCGCATCGCGTCGTGGTAGCAGAACATCGCGTGCCGGAATTGCCAGCACGCCCTTTCGAACAACTGGTTCGAGCGTGTTGCGGCACTAACAGAAAAGATAGTGGAGAACCCCTTGTCACAGGAACATAAAAACGACTTCGGTACATTCTTGACCGGTCAGAAAAGTACTCCATCGGAACATCTAGACACTACCTCATTCGAAAGCCAG